TCTTGGTCATCACGTTAATGTGGACCAGGAGGGATAACTGAATGTCATTGCTCTGAGTTGTATGAGGAGCCCTGGTGGAACAACTGGTAAAGCGCTTGACTGCTAACCGAAAGGTTGGTGGTTCGAATCCACCCGTCGGCTCTGTTGGAGAAAAGACCTGGAGATCTGCTCTTGTAAAGATTACAGCCTAAGAAACCCTATGGGGCAGTTCCACTCCGTCACAAGGGCTAATATGAGTTGGAATAGATTCGACAGCACCCAACAAGCTCTAAGTTGCAGCTTGGCTGTTTGTTCCTCGGGACAAGTAGACAACGTAAGACAATGTCCCTGCAGAGAAAACCGAGGCTCCTGGAAAATGGCCTTAGACATACTCGCGGAGGTAGATATAGTGTTAAGCCCATATCCAAACCAAAACCAAATGTATTGCTGTCGAATCAATTCCAACTCATAGCAACTCTACAGGACAGCACAGAACTACCCCATAGGGTTTCTGAGGCTGTAAATCTTTACGGAAGCAGACTGCTACATCTTTCTCCCATGCAGTGGGTTCAAACTGCTGACGTTGCAGTTAGCAGCCCAGGGCTGAACGCTGCACCACCAGAGCTCCTTCTTAATCCCATATAAGCAGCTACAAACTAATGAATGGATCATGTTTCAAAAAGTTTCTTTTTTTTATGTCTTTGCTTCTTCGAAACACATTTTCCTACTTCAACCATTTTAGACATGGAGGTTAAGCCCCTGGCAATGAAAACCAGCTTATTTAAACCACAACGACCCTGAAGGATGGATTTGTACTGCTAGAACTACACACCCTGCCACCGCGACGGCAATGTCCCTTGGCAGAGGAGAGGAAAGTGTCCCCTGGATGCAGTGTAAGCCCTACATCTCCCAGCCTGCTGTGCAGGTGGGTGTAACCAGGAGTCTGAGTTCAGGAAGTGTGGGACGCCACGTTCCAGCCTGGCTTGCGGACTCTTGCTGCGTACTCCTCTGTGCTCTCTCTCGTCCTCCACCCACTGGCTCAATGCAGAGGACCCAATAGAGGCCTGTGACCTAGGGGAAGGCAGAGCCCCAGGACTGAGGGTCTTTGAAGCACCACGTGGAAGCTGCTGTCATGTGCCATCGAGTCGATTTCAACTCACAGCAACCTTACAGGACAGAGTAGAACTGCCCAATAGGGTTTTCTTGGATGTCGTCTTTACGTGAGCAGATTGCCAGGTCTTTCTCCCACAGAGCCGCTGGGTGGGTTTGAGCTGTTAGCAGCCAATCACTTAACAATCGTGCCACCAGGGCTCCCTCCCACGTGGAAGGCTACTTGCCATATAACCACCTGGAAATGCTATGTGAGCCCCAAGTCACCTTCCAGTGTGGTAAACCTCCCTCTGAGCTTTTGGGCTTGTTAGTTACAGCAGGAAGCCACCCTGACTGATACAAGTGTTTCTAGGAACACGTTTTTTTTTTTTTTTTTTGGTGTGTGTGTGTGTGCTGTACTGGAAACAGACCTAAAGCAGTGATGTACAAGGAGGGAAATAATAATAGAAAAATCAAACCCAAACTCATTGCTGTCAAGTCAATTCCAACTCATGGTGACTCTGTGTTACAGAGTGGAATCCCTCCATAGAATTTTTTTGGCTGCAATCTTTATGGAAGCAGAATGCCAGGCGTTTCTTCCGTGGCACCACTAGGTGAGTTCAAACTGCCAACCTTTAGGGAAGTAGTTGAGTGCAAACTGTTTGCACCACCCAGGGACTGCACAGGGGTGAAAGCAGGTCGCGGTGTGGAAAGACTTGGACTGTGAGTGGTCTGCAGCACCTTCTGAGAACATGGTCTAAGGCACTCATGTGTTCGCTCAATTTTTATTATTTTCGTATAACCAAGAGTTTTCAACAAATTAATGGTCCACATACAAACAGTAAATTTCTCCCTTTGGGTTGTGTCTAATTGTTAAGTGATTTTTAAGTGGAGGACAGTGGTTAAGAGCTCGAGTCCACCAGCCGCCCCTTGGAAACCCTACGGGGCAGTTCCACTCTGTCCTATAGGGCGCCATAAGTTGGAATCAACTCAACGGCAATGGGTTTGGTTTTTTGTTTTCACATTTTAAAGAAATTCCAAAGGGGAAACTCAAAATAAGAAATGGCAATTCTATTCCTAGAAAAGGAGCCTTCTTGTCGCAATGGTTAAGTGCTCGGCTGCTAACTAAAAGGTCGGCATTTCAAACCCACCAGTGGCTCCGTGGGAGAAAGACCTGGCGATCTGCTCCTGTAAAGACTACAGTGTAGGAAATCTTACGGGGCAGTTCGACTCTGTCACATGGGGTCGCTATGAGTCGGGATCAATGGCACACAACAGGAACATTCCTGGAAAGATTTTCCCATTTCAGTTTATCAGTCTTTTCTGCTTTGTAGTGAGTATTCTGTGATAATGAAAAGACATGCAGCTAATCTGAGCTGTGTCACATGGTGGGATGTGCTCATTATCAGAGCAGCTGGGAAGACCCATGAGCCAGACCTACGACTGCAGCCTGGTGCACGGAAAAAGGCAGAGAGAGATTTTGCACCGTGTGAGGAACCAAATTTAAACTTCACACTCCAACCAGCCCAGGATGAGTGGGATCTAAAAGGAATTCAGCCGAAGAGAAACACTTAAATATTATTGTGCTTGTCATTGTGCTGTCAGCTGCTGGTGAGTCAGCCCCCGACTCAGGGCGACCTCCGACTCAGGGCGACCCCATGCACAAGGGAACAAAACGCTGTCCGGTCCTGCGCCGTCCCCAAGATCAGTTGTGGACTGGACCATGTGATCCACAGGGATTTCATTGGCTGGTTTTCAGAAGTAGATCGCCAGGCCTTTCTTCCTAGTCTGTCTTAGTCTGGAAGCTCTGCTGAAAACTGCTCAGCATCATAGCAACACACAAGTCTCCACTGACAGATGGGTGGTAACTGTGCATGAGGTGCCTTGGCCGGGAACGGAACCTGGGTCTCCCGCATGGAAGGCGAGAATTCTACCACGGAGCCACCACTGCTCTCATTATAATGCCGTTGTTGTGTGTCCTTGAGTCGCTTCTGACTCATAGCGACCCTATGTGACAAAGCAGAACTGCCCCATAAGGTTTTCTAGGCTGTAACCCTTACAGGAGCAGATCACCAGGTCTTTTCTCCTGTGGAGTGGCTGGTAGGTTTGTACCGATGATCTTTCGGTTAATGATTGTGCCACCAGGGCACCTATTATGGTGCTAAAAACAAAAACAAAAACGTTGTTTTTGAGTCAATTCCGACCCATAGCAACCATGCAGGACAGAGCAGAACTGCCCCAAAGGGTTTTCAAGACTGCCACATTGTTTTCCTTCAGAGCAGCTGGTGGGTTCGAACCTCTGACCTTTCGGTTAGCAGCTGAACGCTTACTGCAGCCTAAATAGGAATCATGATGTGTTCAGAACATTGAGCGAGCATTTGCAGAGGTACATGTTCTGAAAAGTAATTATTAGCAAACACTTTTAAAGCCAAAAATATTTGATCACAAATTGTTTTTTTAAAAAGTCAGTTTGTAAGGCTGACAATTTCTCATGCTTGAGTCTGATGACAGTCAGTACATAAACTTTATTTCTCAGGGCCTTTTTTCCATAGAATTACTATTGTGAGCACAGTTTAATTCTACTAAGGCAAACGAAGCGAAGAGTACAAGTAACCCTGGGGAAACCACCTGACGGTACAGAGCGCACATACGCAGCATTAACTAGTACTCAGTTAGGAAGCGTCTGAAGTAAGCGTCAAAAATGAAACGCTGAAATACGCTTATGCGACAGACACAGAGTATCAGGACCGTACATGTAAGATGTTTAGTCATGTGGGTGGAAAGGAGCCCTGGTGGCACAGTGGTTAAATTGCTCGGCTGCCAACCCAAAAGGTCAGCGGTTCAAACCCACCAGCCACTCCGTGGGACAAAGACATGGCAGTCAGCTTCTGTAAAGATTACAGCCTTGGAAACCCTGTGGGGCAGCTCTACTCTGTCCCATAGGGTCGCTGAGTCAGAATCGACTCGACGGCAACAGGCTTGGTATTTGCAGTCACGTAGAGAAGGAACACTGGTGGTGCAACAGTTACAAGCGCTCAGCTGCTAACCATATGGTTGGTAGTTTGAATACCCCCGGCAGCTCCGTCCAAGAAAGACCTGGCGATCTGCTCCCGTAAAGATTACTGCCTAGGAAACCCTGTGGGGCAGTTCCACTCTGCCATACGGGGTCGCTGTGAGTCGGAATCGACTCGATGGTACCCAACAACTGTCATGCACGGAGAGAGAACTCCATATGGAAAAATGCTGACAATGGGGTTTGGAGAAAGAGGATGAAGTACCTGACTTGGAATCTTTAAACACAGACACGACGTGGCGTAGGAAATTGGTGAGCTGTTCAGCACTCTTTGAATTTTGATTTTTGGGTGTGATGTCTTCATGGCACCAAAGAGGCCCAAATGCCCTGAAACGAAACACATAAAGTGTCAGACGCATATCTATCATTTGGTATTTCTGAAACGGTAATAAGCAGTTCAACTGCAGAGGTGCAACATAGTTCTCTAAAAAGTTTACTAATTAATTCGGGGGTAAACTTCACCCTTATAAAGCTTACCAGCATACTCAAAACGTGTAGCTAATTTTATGGAGACGTATTAAATTTCTGGGCAAAATTAAAAGCTTCTCAATTCACCAGAACAGTGTTTGGCGCAGAGTAGGTGCTATGTAAGTGTTTGTTCAATAAGATGATATACAATGCTAAATAATGTATATTTAGAATATATTAAACTATAATAAATATATTACATATTGTTGTTGGGTGCTGTTGAGTCGATTTTCGACTCATAGCGACCCCATGTGACAGAGTACACCTGGCCCATTGGGTTTTCTAGGCCCTGGTGGTGCAGTTAAGCACTTGGCTGCTAACTGAAAGGTTGGCGGTTTGAACCCACAAACTGCTCTGTGGGGGAAAGATGTGGCAGTCTGCTCCTATAAAGATCACAGCCTAGGAAACCCTATGGGGTAGTTGTACTGTGTCACATGGGGTCGCTATGAGTTGGGATCGACTTGACGGCACCTAACAACAGTATCCCGCAGCCCCCTCCTAAGATCCTTCCCATTAAATTCCATGTTGAGCCGAGAGCAGAATACCCCGCATTACTAATTGAAGAAAGATAGTGTGTTTTTCCAGTAAAAAAAACAACAAAAATCACATGCGATATCAGATGACATGTACACAGACTACATTTTGAGGACTTAACTCCCTGAGAAAGGAGACCAAGCCCCAGGTGACCGGTAAGCATGCCTTTGTACAAACACTAGGCCTGGGCTGCTAGGAATCCTCATTAATCATTAAGCTGAACCATTAATTAGAAGAACCAGAAGACCTGAAAATAAAATAGTGTGGTTCGCAGCTTTTTTATTGTGATTTACTGTCATTTGGTTCATTGCTCGTCATGCTCAGCACCATTTCTGGTTTCTGACTTCCACATATCAGCGACTCTGGGCACCTACCTGCTCCGGGCTCAGCCGCGGCCACCAGCTTTGGTGTCCAGAGTGCTGCTCTCTGCCGAGCCTCAGAAGGCCCGGCTCCTGGTAGCTGTACCAGGTAATTAAAGTCCTGCCGTCCACAGGCACCACCGTCCCCCCCCATCTGCTGCCTGGTGGTTACTCGCAGAACGTCCCTGCCGTCGACCGTGACAGCAGTGGGGTTTTCGACAATGTCTACCAGTGTCTGCCTTTAACACAGACCCCCGAAATCCACTGCCATCAGGTCAATTTCAACTCATAACGACCCTGTGGGACAGAGTACAACTTCCCCATAGGGTTTCCAAGGCTGTAAATCTTCACGGAAGCAGACTGCCACATCTTTCTCCTGCAGAGCAGCTGGTAGGTTCAACTGCCAACCTTTCAGTTAGCAGCCAAGCGTTTAACCACTGCGCCCCCAGGGCTCCTTTACACAGACTCCAGCAGATGCCATGTGGGAGAGAAACCAGGGCTTTGTTGGAACTCTGGCTCACTGTTCCTTCGTGTGGTTGACAGTGTGGCTCTCGGCATGGTGAGTGCGGCCCCCCATTACCTGGTCGTCAGAAACTCAATGAGCTTGTTTGCCTTCTCATCCGTCTCGGCGGCCGCGTCCACATCTTCCGCCTCCTGCGTCATCTGCGGGAGGTTCCCGCTGCTGCCTCCCAGGCTGATGCTGGACGAGGTGGAGCTGGAGCTCAGCCCCGAGTCGGGCAGTGGCGAGGACTGGTCCTCTCGCAGGAAGTCAAAGCCACCTGGTGGGAGAAGGAGGTCAGGGTGCACAGACGGGTGCAGCCAATTACATTGTTCTGGAGAAAATACTCGATTGAGGCTCTAAGAAACCAGTTGCCGTCGAGTCAGCCTTGACTCATGGCGACCTCATACGTGTCAGAGTAGAAGTGTGTTTCATAGTGTTTTCCATGGCTGATATTTTGGAAGTAGATCGCCAGGCCTTTCTTCTGAGGCACATCTGGGTGGACTCAAACAGCTAATCTTTTGGCTAGCAGCCTAGTGCGTTAATTGTTTATGTCACCCAGGACCACACACGCACACACATTAGATATAAACAAACCCATTACCGTCAAGTGGATTCCGACTCATGGTGACCCCATGTGTGCAGAGTAGAACTGCTCCATAGGGTTTTTAAGGCTGTGGCCTTTGGGAAAGAGATCACCAGGCCTCTCTTCCAGTGTGCCTCTGGGTGGGTTCGAACTGCCAGCCTTTCAGCCAGCAGCTGAACGTGTTAACCATTTGCACCACCCAGGGACTCTGACTTAGGCTACAGCCATAACCAAACAGGGCCCACGTCCTCCCCTTGCTGACGGAGTCAGCGGCACCGCTCGGTGAACCAGTGTATGTTTGGTAACATGAATGTGGTTTGCTGTTTCTTACTCTGCTGTTTTTTTAGTGGATGCTTTCTTGCAAAAGAATTGGGGTGTGTGTGTGTGTGTATGTGTGTGTGTGTGTGGGTATATGGGTGCGCAGGATGAGGAATAGATCAGCTATACATGGATCTGACTGCGCTGTTAGTAAATTCTTCCTGGGTATTAGACTACTTAGAAAACAGACAACAACATCAACAAAAAGCCTGTTGCCGCCGAGTCGAGGGACCCTATAGAACAGAGTAGAACTGCCCGGTAGGGTTTCCAAGGAGCAGCTGCTGGATTCGAACTGCTGACCTTTCGGTTAGCAGCTGAGCTGTTAACCACTGTGCCACCAGGGCTCTCGTTAGACTATTGAGACAAGTGAAATGATAACCCTTTGGAGGGTTGTTGTTGTTGGGTGCAGTCAAATTGATTCCGACTCATAGCCACCCCATGTGACAGAACTGCCCCATAGGGTCTTCTAGGTTGTAATCTTTACAGGAGCAGATCGCCAGGTCTTTCTCCTGTGGAACCGCTGGGTGGGTTCGAAGTGCCAACCTTTTGGTAAGCAGCTGAGCACTTAACTGTTGTGCCACCGGGGCTCCTTTTTTGAGGATACCAGTAACTTAATGGGTGAGGAATTACATTATGTGCAATGTTTCTGAAAAACTAAGCTCAGAAGCTTGACTATTATGTGTTTATTAATATATTTTAATAAACACATCTCATGATATTGAAAGAAACATGTTATAAGCAAACACTGTTTTTTCCACGATGCTTGGTTCACATCCTGTATCTCTGGGTATGTCCTGGGTCTGAACACGTCTACACTCAACCACCTCTTCCACTTCATGAGCAGGACAAGTGCGTAGTCCTGGTGCGTCTGACAGATACGCTGAGCTAGGGGTGAGGGGCCTGGGCTTGAGTGTCATCTCTGCCACTCACCGTGAGACCTTGGGGACTTCACAGAACCTCTCTGTACCTCTGCTTCCTGTTTACAACCTGAAGGCAGTAACGGCTATCACCCAGGTTTCTAGCGTGGAGCTCTGGTGGCGCAGTGGTTAAGCACTTGGCTGCGAACCAAAAGGTCTATGGTTCAAATCCACCAGCTGCTCTGCAGGAGAAAGATGTGGCAATTCTGCCCTGTCCTACAGGGTCGCTGTGAGTTGGAATTGACTTGACAGCAATGGGTGTATAGTTGAAACTTGGTGCTCATTGAATGTTTATAAAAAGAGGTATTTCCCATACCCTTTATAGACCTATTCAGCGTGTATTATAGATTAATCATTTTCACTATTTGTTGTTGTTGTTTTTCTAAATCCCCACTTTAAACCATTTTATGCCACATCAACGGTATAGTGTATGGCAAACGGATGCACTCAGATATACAACTTAATGGACATTACAGTTTTCTCAGCCTAAGGCCACACTTAAGGGAATCCATGCTCATCCTCAGGAATGAGAACAGCACTGTCATAACTGTTCAGATTCTTTTAAGTCAGCATCCGTCTAGTAGAGAAGGTTCTGTGTCTCTGAGAGGCTATTGATGGATTGTTTTCAAGTGTAAATTGGTTCAAAATAGAGGGCTTAAACTGAGATCCCGTTAAAACCCATTGCCACAGAGTTGATTCCGACTCATAGAGGCCCTATAGGACAGAGTAGAACTGCCCCCTAGGGTTTCCAAGGCTGTAAATCTTTATGGAAGCAAATTGCCAGGTCTTTCTCCCGTGGAGTGGCTGGTGGGTTTGAACTGACAACCTTCCGGTCAGCAGCCGAGCGCTTAACCACTGCACCACCAGGGCTCCTAAACTGAGGTCGGTGGCCCTTAAGACTCAGAGTTAATAATGAATTCATATCTCCTTTCCAAGGAAATCTGTTACTCAGTCAGAAGACAAGACAGTGCTAAGTGACAAATAAAAAGATGCTGAGTATAATTGATGAATAAGAGGTGTGTCCTTTGCAAAGTCATGAAGAAAGTACAAAGTGACACAGAAAATGCCACACCATATCCAATGCCAATGAAATAAAATACAATAATTGAGTAAAAAAAAAAGCAGTTCCTAAACTCTCTTAACTGGTCATCTTTATCATCATTTTAAGATATTTTAAACATTCTGGTTCTAAATGAAAACCGCGATCAACCTTTTGACATGGCAGAGTAATTTTTCTGACTCAGCTAATAGCTTCTGTTCCCATTTCTAAGAACAAATTTTTGGTTTTAAAACAGCAGGGGTTTTTAATAAGCTCCCCACTGATGGTGCCTTCCAGAAAAAAAGTCAGTCATTCCTTGCAGTGAAAATTCCTTTGGGAAAACTACAGTGAACCCAAGAGATAAGGCTGGCTCCTTGGCAAGGACCACTGTCAAGGCAGTGGACGTGATCGCTGTTTTCTGCGTTCTCATCCTTCAGCGCTGTTGTCTGATACTCTTGGCCAAGGGGAGTTTTAATTTAAGATGCATGAGTAGAAACATAAGAAACCCTGGTGGTGCAACAGTTAAGCGCTTGGCTGCTAACTGAAAGGTTGACAGTTCAAACCCACCCAGCAGCTTCCGGGGAGAAAGACCTGGCTATCTGCTCCCGTGAAGATTACAGGGTAGGAAACCCTATGAGGCAGCTCTACTCTGTCACATGGGGTTGCCATGAGTTGGAATCAACTCAATGGCACCACCACCACCAACAATAGGAACATATTCAATGAGAGCAACAACCATAATAATAATGAGAAAAAAATATATTTAAAAATACTCAGTAACAAAGTGGAATTCTGGGAGGCACGTTCATATCAAGGAAAATGGTGTGGATTCATTGTGCTGTGATTTTATCATTTGGAAAGTTGGAGGTAACAGCACTAGGGAGCTAACTTGTGCTCCATTGACACCTTCAGTTATCTTTGAATTTGTGACCCTGACTCAGCCTCTCTGAGTCCCTGCCACTCCTTCTCCTGTTACCTGTGTAGAGATATTCGGGTTGGTAACCTGGCTGGACGGTCAGGGTCTTGGCTTCACTCATCTCTCGAGTCTGCAGCAGCACAGACGCAATGGCGTGGAAGCTGCTGTTGCCAGACAGGGCGATCAGGAGGTGGAGAAGCAGTTTTTTGCTGTGTTCAAAGACTTCGGGCCGGTAATGGTCCAAACCTGGAACAAAGCGTGGAATCTCTTAGTGTAAACAAATTTTAAGCTAGTTTACATTCCAAAGACAGTAAAGACTCCAAGATACCCCAGAGGAACACATTAAAGGAATGTTTAGTTTTCTTCGTGATTGTTTGTGTTACCAACATAAAGAAGTTGGGCTTCGGAAACATAAAACGCTGTCTCCCTTAAATCAAACGTTCTCATAACATGCGGACGGATGGCCTTCTCTTGACCTCTCTGTAGCTTTTGAAATGGTTAGCATTCCTCCTTCGCTGAACGTTCTCTGCCTTGGATCTCCCGTTACTGCAGGATTCTGATTTTATTCATCTCTCTCTAACAGAACTTTGAGCCTCCTTGGCTGTTTCATCTTTCCATATTTTTTCTACAACTTGGGTATTTTTAAAGCTCAATCCTTGGCCCTCTGTACTCTATATTGTTTCTCTCTTTGCACGCTGTGTTGCAAACGCTTAAATTTATCACCTCTTGCCAAAGGCCCATCTTCTTTTGGCTATTTTCATAGAGTATTCGCGAAGCACCACGCTATTTACGTCACATTAACGGGACAACTTTGAACAATGACCAATCAACTGAAATTTTAGAGCAGATGTCACAAAAAGGCAATGAAAAACGGAAGTGACTAAATATCTCCGAAATGAGGCAAGCAGGATGTCAAGGGAAAAGGAAATCTCTGTGGACTGTCCCTGTACGTTTGGGACCCTGCTGGCTGTAATTCCTTTCAGATCGAGTCTTACCTAAGAAGACAGCATGAAGTAATAATGGTAGATGAAGAGCCCAATCTTCTCTCACACTGTGATCCACCACCATCTCAGTCATAAAAATGACAGCAATATTGCACCTGATCAATGAAACGATGAGATTAACGCAACTTCTACAGAGGATGGAAAAACACTGATTTTAAGCCACAATTAAATACAGCCCTTAAACCTTGTGGAAGAACAAGGCTCCTCTTGCAGGGAAATGGAGTTTCACTTCTGAGATGTCATAAGGCTCCACATCAAGAAAAAATGCCCGTTGAGTCAATCACACAATGGAGAGTATACTGTTGTCGTTGTTGTTGTGGGCCGTCACGTCGACTCTGACTCATGGTAACCCCGTGAAACAGAGCAGAGCTGCCCCATAGGGTTTTCTAGGCTGTAATTTTTACGGGAGTAGATCCCCAGGTCTTTCTCCCGCGGAGTCGCTCAGTGTTGGGTTTGCACTGCCGACCTTTCACTTGGCAGCCGAGCGCCTAACCCATTGTACCACCAGGGCACCTACTGGAGAGTGTACTAGTCACTAGATAGTACGAGCGAAGGATGATGAGAAATAGAAGACATGGTCCCACATTTCTAGTTTCTTACAATCTTAAAAGCATGACAATTAATACATATATCAAGATTGTATCAATTCACAGGACCCCAAAGGCAGCTTGGCACATTGGTTAACATTCTAACAAACTCTGCCAACATGGCAGTCAGCCATGGCCCCACTGATTTCAAAGGTCATTTCATTTCATGGGGCTTGTGATAGGTTTCCCTCTTCTCATAGGAAGACAAATCCAGTAAAAGCTAAGTGGTCATGTTCCTCTATCTGTCCATGCTGCTCACCGATGGAGTGGCCCCCGTGGAGTGATGGTTTCTGGGAGGTAGTCAACCAGGGGTGCCCAGCATCCCCCAGTACAAGGCATCGGTAAGGGCTGTGGCTGCTTGGTCTCCGTGATAGTCAACAACCAGCTCGCATAGGGAGACACTGGATCAGCTGTAGGGTGAGAAAGAAAAGTGTGCTTTATTTTCTGCGAGAGAAGATTTCTGTTCTCCCTACTTGGTGTTTTTTAGAAAGAATCTTACAAATTCTTGCTTGCAAAAATAACTTTCCAGCCATCCAATTTGGTGAGAATGAATTCCATGGCTTAGAATGACTTGATGAGGTTTTCTTTGTCCCTTAATTTTTTGATAGCTAATTAGTAGTTATTCATTACAGAGCAATTGGAAAATACAGACATGCAATAGAAAACATTAAATCCTGTGAATTCCCGTGGCTGTGAAAACTTGCTCTTTCTCCGATCT